ATAAGTTGTGAGGTAAAAGTTGCTGAAAGATGGCTACCAGGCGACAGAGAAAGCTGGCTGAGGAAAGAGAGGTAGACCAAGAGGAAAGTTCGAGCTCTGAGACAGAGACCGAGCCGATGCCTTTCTCAGAAATGGCTTGTAAGTATAAACTAGAGATGAAACGATTGGAGATGGAGGAAAAACAGAGAGAGTTTGAAGAAAGACAGAGAGTGAGAGAATTGGAACAGGAGTTAGAATGGAAGAGAATGGAGTTTGAGCTAGAGAAACAAAGATTGGCTTTGTCTCAAACATCCAGGGATATCCAGGAAGGGAGATCTGGAGGAGATACCCCAGATTTGAAGAAAAATTCCCAAAATTTACCAAAGACGATGGCCCAGAGAAATTCCTAATATCTTTTGAGAGATGTTGTCGAGATTTTGGGGTGGCTAAGGAAAAATGGATGACATACCTAAGGCCTCAGATAAGTGGGAAACTTTTGCAGATTTATGGACAGATGTCTGAGGATTCATATGGAGACTATGATCTGTTTAAGAAACAGATTCAACAAGAATTTAGATTGACTCCTGAATATTATAGATTTAAGTTCAGGACATTAAAGAAAGATAAAACTCAAAGTTTTGGTCAGGTGGCCTCAAGATTGTCTCAACTGTTCGATAGTTGGATAAGGACATCTGAGGTGGAAGATTATCAACAGCTGAGGGAACTTTTGAAGCTGGAGCAGTTTTTCCAACTAGTGCCTTATGATATTCGTTGGGTGATTCAGGATCGCAAGCCATCCACAATTGTAGAGGCAGCGGGTATGGCAGATCAAATAACAACCTTAAAAGAAGGATTTAAGAGAAAAGATCTGCCAGGTGACAAAAGAACAAGAATGTCAGTTTTCACCTATTTGATCATTCCCCATTGGTTTACATTGAAATCGCAAGCCGTCTCAAAAAGACTCAAGTTACTGCAAGAATGTAAGTTTTCACCTATTTGATCATTCCCCATTGGTTTACATTGAAATCGCAAACCGTCTCAAAAAGACTCACGTAACTGCAAGAATGTCAGTTTTCACCTATTTGTTCATTCCCCATTGGTTTACACTGAAATCGCAAACCGTCTCAAAAAGACTCACGTAACTGCAAGAATGTCAGTTTTCACCTATTTGATCATTCCCTTTGGTTTACATTGAAATCGCAAAGCGTCTCAAAAAGACTCAAGTTACTGCAAGAATGTCAGTTTTCACCTATTTGATCATTCCCCATTGGTTTACATTGAAATCGCAAGCCGTCTCAAAAAGACTCAAGTTACTGCAAGAATGTAAGTTTTCACCTATTTGATCATTCCCCATTGGTTTACATTGAAATCACAAACGGTCTCAAAAAGACAAGTTACTGCAAGAATGTCAGTTTTCACCTATTTGATCATTCCCCATTGGTTTACATTGAAATCGCAAACCGTCTCAAAAAGACTCAAGTTACTGCAAGACAGTTTTCACCTATTTGATCATTCCCCATTGGTTTACATTGAAATCGCAAGCCGTCTCAAAAAGACTCAAATTACTGCAAGAATGCCAGTTTTCACCTATTTGATCATTCCCCATTCGTTTACATTGAAATCGCAAACGGTCTCAAAAAGACTCAAATTACTGCAAGAATGTCATTTTTCACCTTTTTGATCGTTCCCCATTGGTTTACATTGAAATCGCAAACCGTCTCAAAAAGACTCGTTACTGCAAGAATGTCAGTTTTCACCTGTTTGATCATTCCCCACTGGTTTACATTGGAATCGCAAACCGTCTCAAAAATACTCACGTAACTGCAAGAATGTCAGTTTTCACCTATTTGATCATTCCCCATTGGTTTACATTGAAATCGCAAGCCGTCTCAAAAAGACTCAAACTGCAAGAATGTCAGTTTTCACCTATTTGATCATTCCCCATTGGGTTACATTGAAATCGCAAACGGTCTCAAAAAGACTCAAGTTACTGCAAGAATGTCAGTTTTCACCTTTTTGATCATTCCCCATTGGTTTACATTGAAATTGCAAACCGTCTCAAAAAGGTTCAAGTTACTGCAAGAAGTCAGTTTTCACCTGTTTGATCATTCCCCATTGGTTTACATTGAAATCGCAAACCGTCTCAAAAACTCAAGTAACTGCAAGAATGTCAGTTTTCACCTATTTGATCATTCCCCGTTGGTTTACATTGAAATCGCAAACCGTCTCAAAAAGGCTCAATTAACTGCAAGAATGTGTTTTCACCTATTTGATCATTCCCCATTGTTTTACATTGAAATTGCAAACGGTCTCAAAAACTCGTTACTTCAAGAATGTCAGTTTTCACCTATTTGATCATTCCCCATTGGTTTACATTGAAATCGCAAACCGTCTCAAAAAGACTCACGTAACTGCAAGAATGTCAGTTTTCACCTATTTGATCATTCCCCATTGGTTTACATTGAAATGGCAAACCGTCTCAAAAAGACTCAAGTTACTGCAAGAAGTCAGTTTTCACCTGTTTGATCATTCCCCATTGGTTTACATTGAAATCGCAAACCGTCTCAAAAAGAGTCAAGTAACTGCAAGAATGTCAGTTTTCACCTATTTGATCATTCCCCATTGGTTTACATTGAAAAGACTCAAGTTACTGTAAGAATGTCAGTTTTCACCTATTTGATCATTCCCCATTGGTTTACATTGAAATCGCAAACGTTCTCAAAAAGACTCAAGTAACTGCAAGAATGTCAGTTTTCAACTATTTCATCATTCCCCATTGTTTTACATTGAAATCGCAAAAGGTCTCAAAGAGGCTTAATTTACTGCAAGAATGTCAGTTTTCACCTATTTGATCATTCCCCATTGGTTTACATTGAAATCGCAAACCGACAGTTTAAAATCAGTCAGGCGGATGAGACCCTGAAGGACAGAGTCAAAGGGGACTCTGGGATAATAGTTCAGTCAGGGGAATGAAACCCTGAAGGACAGAGTCAGTTGAGGCTCTGTGGTGTAGTGTAATTCAGCCAGTTCTTAGGATTTGTGAATATTATTCCAGCTAGGAAGCTGGAGGTGAAACCTCGTTAGATTGCTTGAGTAAAGAAAGAATCTAACAAGAAAGAGGTTTAGGGATCCCAGTGGTGAATGGCTGGAGATCGCTAGTTTGATCCTGTGTAGGACAAACAGTTGTAAATATTCACAATAGGGAACTGAAATATTAAAGCACCTCATTGTAGAAGAAGTCAAAGAATTGTAACATCACCTGAATGTATCTCAACTAAGCCATATTTGTAACCATCAAGCTTGTGCCAAGTTCAACAGTTAATATTGCAACAGTTACGCTCCGACAATAAATCTGTTCTCTTTGTGTTTTAAAACCTGCCTCATCCATTGATTTCAACGTTTTGCACAATCCACACTACCAAAGTGGCCTCACAACCCAGATAAGAAGAAACAGAGATTATATTACCAATATCTCTTTATATTAGGGTGGCAGCTTAAACTAGAAGTCTCAAATTCTCATTACATTGGTGTGGTGATCCTATTTAGTTGGGATTTCACGCCATTATTTTATTTTTGGAGACTACTTCACATATTTTGGTGGCAGCAAGTGAACGGCTTCGAATTGTAGTAACGAGCGGTGGGGACGCGGCTTCGCAATCGTGTACATGAAAGAAAGCATTAAACCACTTATGCCATGTCCCCATTGAAGCTCCATCCCCTGAACCAAGTGTTGCACTTTTAGACTGAGGGCCCTTTCACACAGCCATATAATGTAGAAGATCAAGGTAGAATAACCCACAATAACTTCTTTGAACTGGGTTATCTGGGTCCACACTGCCATATATCCCAGTTCAAAGAAGATAATGCCAGATTTTATACAACTGTGTGAACGGGGTCTGAGGTGCCTCAAAGATTTCAGTCCTATTGGCAGTTTGGTAAAGAGCATCGGTTGAGGTATGAGACTGGTGTCTCCAGATTCAGAGGAAGCTTGACTCATTAATAGTCCCACCAAAATGCTAAAAAACAATAAAAAACACAAGCATAGAGATAAAGGTAATGTATTAGGACTGTGCAAAGTATGGGTGTGAGGGTGATGTGATTGACAACAGCAGCTACATGATGCTTTTTCCTTGTTAGCCAATTACACAGCTTTCTACTCCTCCCCTCAGCATCTCCTCCCCTCAGCTTCTGTGTTTCTTTGTGGAGTTAGTAGGAGAGAAAAACTTTTAAAAATTACTAAAGATCAGTAGATGAATGCATCTTTCTGAAACATTGTAGGATCGATGCCCTGCTTATGTTGTCTCATCGCACAGAAATTCAAAGGGATATGCCTTGTAGTTTTTTTTAAAAAAGTAGTTTTAAAAACTTTTAAAAGTTTCTAAAACCAGTGGATGACCAAAACATTCTGAAACTTGGAAGGCTTAAAGCCATAAAATGTTGTCTACAAGTGTGCCAAGTTTCAAATGCCAGCGAAATGAGTCTTGAAATTTTCCCCATTGCTGCTAATGGAACAAATCTTAAAGAAACAATTCTGAAGCTTTGGATTAAGAAATGAAATGGGACCCATCCGAATCTTTACTAAACGAAGTGGGGCCATCCAAATGTCCTAAACAAATTACTAATCTGATTTCAGCTGCTTCGCACATCTCTATAATGTATAGCCCAAAGGAATAGTTTGCAATCAGGGATGGCTGTTTTGTCACTACCACTGCCTACCTCACTGGATGTCTTTATGTGGTTTAAGCTACAACAAGGCTTACTGTCTTATTTATTATCTCATTCTCTGATTTTCAAGCACATCTTCATGTACTTTCTCAGATAGCTCAAGTTTTTCTTATACATATATACATCTCAAAGATAACAGTATCACATTCCAAGACAGAACTCATTCCTATGTATATTGCTAAGCAGAGAGGGAAGTATAAGTCAATCTAAATTGTTCAGCAGGGTTAGCTTGTGGTATTTTTACTTCTGAAGTCAAGTATCAAGTGACACCCATGATCCACAACAGTCAAGATACATAGTATCCACAGCCAACCAAGTGAGTTTGATGCCTGAAACAGAAATCTCACAAGGACTTTTTCCACATGCATGATAGTTAAAAGAAAACAACAAAAACACAGTAACCACTGATTGCTGATCTTTCATGGGATGCAAATTATGTTGTCTTAGACTGCTAACTAACTTGAGGAATGCAAGGCTGGGGTGAAAATTGCTGGAAGAAACATTAGCAACCTTAGATATGCAGATGACACCACTTTGATGGCCAAAAGCGAGGAGAAGCTGAGAAGCCTTCTAATCAAAGTGAAAGAAGAAAGCACAAAAGCTGGGTTGCAGTTAAACATTAAAAAAACCCAAGATTATGGCAACAAGAATGATTGACAACTGGGAAATAGAGGGAGAAAACGTGGAGGCAGTGACAGACTTTTTATTTCTAGGTGCAAAGATTACTGCAGATGCAGACTGCAGCCAGGAAATCAGGAGACGCTTACTTCTTGGGAGGAGAGCAATGACCAATCTTGATAAAATAGTGAAGAGTAGAGACATCTCACAGGCAACAAAGATCTGCATAGTAAAAGCAATGATATTCCCCGTAGTAACCTACGGATGTGAGGGTTGGACCATAGGGAAGGCTGAGCGAAGGAAGATAGACACTTTTGAACTGTGGTGCTGGAGGAAAGTGCTGAGAGTGCCTTGGACAGCGAGAAGATCCAACCAGTCCATACTTCAAGAAATAAAGTCTGACTGCTCATTAGAGGGGAGAATAGTAGAGGCCAAGATTAAGCACTTTGGCCACATCATAAGAAGAAAGGAAAGACAATGTTGCTGGGGAAAATGGAAGGAAAAAGGAAGAGGGGCCAACTAAGGGCAAGATGGATGGATGGTATCCTTGAAGTGACTGAATTGACCTGGAAGGAGCTGGGGGTGGTGATGACTGACAGGGAGCTCTGGCGTGGGCTGGTCCATGAAGTCACAAAAAGTTGGAAATGACTGAACGAATGAACAACAAGACTGCTAACTTACTCTAATAGTCATTTTTCCTCTCTTGTGCAATGTTTCTCAAGACAGTTTCTCCATTCAAATGCACATCTCTATCTTGATTCAATCAGCAATTAATGATACCTTTTGAGCATGATTATGTACAGAACGGTGCTATACAGTTTTCTTAATCGGTTGGAATTCATGAGCTGTTCTTGTGTGCCTTCAAGTCATTTCTGACTTCTGCCAACTCTAAGGTCACTTTAGACTGAAGGGGATCCTGGCTGATGGGTTTCCATGGAAGACCTATATGCAAACCCATTTTGACACATTTGCAACATACAGAAAGCACAGCAGGAAGCCAAATTCATTCATGGCAGTGATGTGACTAGTCAATCTGACCCCAGAGCTCCCCACATATGCTCTTATAAGATGCAAACATCTGAACAGCCTTCAGAGTTCAATGTGAGATGATATTAAAATTCTGCCCATTTAGCTCTTTGACAGTCCATTCAGATGTGCAAATCAACCCTCTCAGTTGCAAATAGCAAATAATGAACATGTGTGTACCACACAGTAGCCATGCTCATTAGATTTGCTTTTCTATATTCCTGGTTTTGTCCATGAAATAATATCACTAGTGCTTTTCCTACTCCCCATCCCCCATCAGATCTTTTTGTTACAATAAAGTAACTCATAGTCTCATTTTATACATTCATTTGCGCACACACACACACCTTCCATTGTGTTTGTGATTATACTTGCAATGCTCATTGCTCTTTGCCTTATGGTGGGATCTTCCAGTAAATCCATTGATACTTGAAAGGAACTTGATCGCCTTTTTCTGCTGCCTATTTCAGAAGCGGTGCTCTAGAGTGAAGTAAAAAGATGAAATTATCCACATGAATGGAGACAATTTCTATCAGAATGTTTTTTTAATTTAAAAATATCACACATCACAAACAATGTCATGCCACATGCAGATTAGTAGTTTTGCACAAATTATGCCAGACTTTGTTCCTTTTTAATAATTAATACCCAATTTATTGCTTCTAAATCTTACCATATTCTTTTGTATTGGAAATTATCTAGCAATAAAGGTTTAACTAATAATGAACCAGGGGGCAAAATGCTATACGCATTTGTAAACACAATGTATAGATTAGTGATTTATTTACACATCACGACTTGGGACAGTGGGGAAATGCTCTTCACTTTCTCAAATATGACTATTTGACAGATGGCCATCTGGGATTGAGACTAGGACCCTTGCATAGAGCTAAGGAAATTTTCAACTCTCAATCAGAGCTTGGAACATGTTACTTCAGTAGGTTGATAAGAAAGGTAGGAAATTATAACAATCTTCTTTTAATATAAAAATGACATTTTCACATTCTTGTTAGTTTTGAGAGTAACTTATATTAAAGTTTGGGGGTATTTGGTAAACATACATTGAACAGGTGCAGCAAAAAAATTATAGCTAAACCTCACAACCTTTAAGGATGCCTGCAATAGATGTGGGCCAAACGTCAGGAGAGAATGCTTCTGGAACATAGCCATACAGCCTGGAAGACTCTCAGCAACCAATAAAAACCTTCGACAACAAACTAATATTTACTTTATACTTATAAATGCAGGAAGTCATCCCCTTCCCCTCCCCATCACTTCCCCTCCCCATTCCTCTGTCCCAGTTGCTTCCCCAGTTACTCTCACGTCCTTTTCATTTCCTAACTGCAATGTGTCCTGTTGCCTTTCCAAGGTATTTCCTTTACCTCAACTGTTCAGTGTATGTTTGCCAAGTACATGCAACAAAGATCACACTACTGAATTTCTTAAAGCATAGTTTTAAAGCCTGGCTCATAACAAATATAAAAGCTTTTCCAAGATGCAGAAGCATTCACAACGTGGATTCCATTCTGTTGACCCACCATGCCTATGCTACTTAAAACATCCTTACACTGTCATCAGTAGTTGCTTTATCTACTATCACCTCTGGAAGAAGCTGTCCTGTAGGTGACAGGAGTGCTGGGGGTCCTCCTACCAAGGAAACCACCCCATTGCAATCCACACTGCTATGCATCTTCCCATTCATTGAAAATACTGGCAACATGGTCTGACTGAGGTTACTGCTGCGACGTTCACTAGGTCTCCGTATGACAAAAAAAGAGCCATTACGGCTTGCATTGTCTTCAAATGTGCTGTGCTCACTATCAGCATCTGAGCCCCCTTCCGTGGTTGGACCTTTGAAGCTGGAAAAGCTGGCTCTGCTACTGCGTCTTGTGGGGAACAGCATAGACTATAGAGACACAAATGGAAGGCTTAGATTAAAACCTGCAAAGGCACTCTGGAGTGTACACCACTGTTACCATTTTGATAATAATTTCCAGCATATTTGCTTTAAACACAGAATATTTGCTGGATCAAAATAAATAACCCATATAGTTCTATAGCAATATTCTGGACAAGGACATAATTTGAGAGGTTCAATCATGATGGTATTATTTAACATGTCTGTTCTGCAGACTTTAGCTTCATTCCAAGAATCTTGCAAGCTTATTATATTTGCAACAGTCCATAACACTATGTAACAAAATTTGAAAAAAAAAAACCTTCCTGGTTTGAAGGTGTTATTTTCCGTTTAATTGTACAGTATGTACTTTGGAAGTAGTTGTTATACTCCAGAAACTTTTGTTTTTGTGGCTGACACCAATTATATTTAATTGGTTGAGATTCGATGAGATATTCATTGAAAAACTATAGCAAAAATGTTTGCTTTAAACACAGAACACATTTGCTTTAAACACAGAAGATTTGCTGGATTTATTGAAAGATCAAAATAAATAATCCATATAGTTCTATAGCAATATTCTGGACAAGGACATAATTTGAGAGGTTCAATCATGATGGTATTATTTAACATGTCTGTTCTGCGGACTTTAGCTTCATTCCAAGAATGTTACAAGCTTATTATATTTGCAACAGTCCATAACATTATGTAACAAAATTTGAAAAAAAACTTCCTGGTTTGAAGGTGTTATTTTCCGTTTTATTGTACAGTATGTACTTTGGAAGTAGTTGTTATACTCCAGAAACTTTTGTTTTTGTGGCTGACACAAATTATATTTAATTGGTTGAGAATCGATGAGATATTCATTGAAAAACTATAGCAAAAAATGTGCTGCAGTTTAATAAAACCTTTTCCTTGATTTTATAATGCAACCAATTAGGAAATAACATTCATAGACCAAGAACAAAAATTGTGTTATTCTGTCTTGAAAATGTATGTACAGTCAGCCCTTGGTATCTGCTGGTGTTTGGTTCATGGACCTCCCCTCTCCTCCCGGAAATACCAAAATCAATGGATGCTCAAGTCCCTTAATATACATGAAATGCCACGATAAAATGGATAAGGATGCCCCATATCTAAAATAGCAAAAATCAAGGCTTTTTTTTCAGTTTCTTTTAATACCTTCAAACAATGGATGGTTGAATCCATGAATGCATAATCCTTGAATGTGGAGGGACAATTTTTTAATTCAAAATCACATATTAATAGTTTTTACTACTATTTAATCGGTGCTAGTTTTGTCTCTGACATGTCAACAAAAAGCATAAGCCAATAATCTTTAAAAAAAATTAAATGTCCATGATCTTTAAAAAAGCAACATGGGAACGGCAAAACAGAAATTCCAGGTGTTCCCTTTGCTCTGAACCACATTTCTTTTAAGGTGGATAAGACCTGAGTTTCTCAGTTACTGTAAGATATCCTAAGTGCCTGTTTGCACAGAAATCATTAGATTTTTATAAATCTTCCCCAGCTTTCCTTCTTCTCGCTCGATCTCCTCTACACAGAACATAATACCTGGATCTCCACGCAGAGTATTTCTGGTGGTGACCTCACTATCTCAATTTGTCTGAAAGATGATAATTGAAAATACAACCATAGTGTACCTGGTATGGAGAAATAGTTCTGGTATCATAAGTGAGTCTGTTTCCTTCCAGGGAAAATCGAAATGCTTTCTTTTTGATGCTGCCATCTGATTCAGACTTGGGGATTTTCTTGGCGTCTACTTTCTCATCTCCCAGAGACAGCTCTCTCTCCCGCCTTTTCTTTCTCCGGTTTCTTCTTTCTTTAGCACTTTTTGAGCTTAGTCTTGACAATTCTGAAGAAGTTTCAGAAAGTCTTCCTAGGGCACCATCATCTCTGGCATCTCTGTAAGCTGCTGCTATTGCCTATCATATCAAGAGATCAAGCAATGTTAATGTTCTGTTACAGATCTTATCTTCTATATATTGTTAAATTGAACCAGAATAAGTTGAGTTGATATATCTGCATGATTTTATCTGCAAAAAATATTATCAAATTGTAATTTTTTTCAATAGATTTGAATGAACTAATTTAACTAGCAGCCTATACATCTCATATATTCCTTTTTCAGGAAATACTGGCCAATCAGTCAAGAAAATACAGGTACTCTGAAAATTATTTCCAGATTTTTAGAATTCATCACAAATATAATGGATTTACAGGCCACTACTCTTAGTTCATTGAGGCCAATAACTGCACAAGTAATGCTTTTTTCCTCAATATTAGAAAATGTTTCATGAATCTCTATCAGTCTTACTACTACCACATATAACAATCATATTATGCTTTGAACAAACAACTGATTTCTCAAAGAAGAAGGCTTCCCCAGGATCTGTAGTGAAGTATTTATAATTGATTCATTTATATGATTGGAAAGCACTGTCATCAGTGGTGAAGGCCAGGGGGAAAATCCTAATTGGCAACTAAGCTATGAATGCATAACTTAGGGCCCATCTACCCAGACCACATAGATTGCAGATGGTCTAGAGTGCCATGGAAGTCTATATGGTTGGAAACTGAGCCTGCTCGGTGGCTGGCCGAATAGAGCTACATGGCCCATTTCACACACACACACACACCCCTGTCCTGGGCTTAGCAGTGACCACCAAGCATGAAACTGCCTGTGGTCATCACTCATCACATCCATTGACAACAGCAGAGTGACAGAACCAGTGCAAGAGAGTGTGGGGGGGAAGGGTGAATTGTCACTTCCTTTCCCTTCTCACTTCTGCAAATCACTCTGTTGCTTCAGCCATTCTATGCAATATGCCATGACCACAGGCACTTTCACGTCTGGTGTTCACCACTAAGCCAAGGATGACAGCGGGATGATCCGTGTCATCCCTTGTCTCCAGGCCACCCAAGCCCAGGGAAATGAGGAGTCCCATGTGAACAGGCATACCTCAACTTTTCACACTGCCACAAAGTGCAAGAAAGCTCTGGAGCTCCAGGGAAGCTCTGGAGCATCCTGCGATTTTTCAAAACACATGACAAGGCTGTGTTAAGCAGCCTTGATAAGTTTTAGGGCAAAATGGGCCCAGGGCATCATGAGGATGCCTCCAAGTCAATTCACCCCCACCCTACCTCATTTGGCTGTGTAGATTGGCCTAATTACCATCTTCTAGCATGAACCCCTAAACTTACCTTAACAGCTAGTATCTGTTCCATGTGATGGAGCACGATGAGGTTTCTAGTCATCCCCTAGCAGCCAACTGTGGTGAGATGAGGAATTATAACAGACCCTGTTTCTCATTATTATAGCCTTGCTTGCTGGCAGGAAGAGTGCCAAAATATATAATCCTACTGCTCCAAGATTGCCAAAAGAACAGACCTCCATTGCATAGAGCAGTTTTCTGAGGTTTAATGTAGGATTCAGAGACATTTACAAGTGGGACAATAGAGGTAGAGTTGTGAATATGTATGGTGAGCAGTTACAGAAAAATAACTCAAAGTTATGAATTCTTAATTGCAAAATGGAAGACCAGCCAATGTTAGTATGGAAGATCCAATCTCATAATGCTCCTGCCAAAGGAACTTCTATAATGGAAAGTACAATATCTTCTAAACCTATACAAAGTAATGTGGAAGCACCAATGTTTTGAATACCTGTGCTTCCTCTTGTTGCCTTTTCAGTTGCTCAAGCATCTGCTGATATTCAGCCTCCTTCCGCTCTGCCTCTTCTATGTTGGCTTGATTCTGTTCTTCATAGGCCATGGCAACAACAGCCAAGATCAGATTGACCAGATAGAAAGAGCCGAGGAAAATCACCAGCACAAAAAAGACCATGTAGCCTTTGCCAGCAGCACGCAGAGTCTGGGAAACCAGGTGCAAGACAAATTATTAAGTCAAGAAAATGGCTTACCTTTTGTAAAAATATAGATGTTTGCAATGTATGCTGTAACAATGTGTGTAAATACATATGCACATAGAGTTAATTAATCAGATTTTCAGATGGTACTCTGTATCTTTATAAGTTAGTGGGTCTCTCTGAGAAGGATGGGAGTGTTTGGAGAGAGTTTCGGCAGAACTGCGAATGCAACCTGAACTGTTTGCACTGAATGATCAGACTCCCTAGATAGGGAAAGCAAATATCACTCTATGGCCACTAGAAATAATGTCAATTGGATTGCTGTGAGTTTTCTGGGCTGTATGGTCATGTTCCCAAAGCATTCTCTCCTGACATTTCGCCCACATTTATAGCAAGCATCCTCAGAGGATGTGAAGTATATTGGAAACTAAGCAAGGGAGGTTTATATATCTGTGGAAGGTCCAGGGTGGGAGAATAATGTCAATTACCCACTCCAAGCCATGGAACAAATAAGTCAGTACAAGGGTGAATGCACATAGTGACATCCACCTTAATAGTACTTTCTCCCACTTTTTAAAAATCATATTTTGGGGTAGTGTAAACAGTTGAGCTGCTTCTTATTCAGAAGCAGCTGTGGCTGTTCACAATGTCATTTTACCTTCCCCATGGATCCCATGAAAGTGGTTGTGCGTCAGTATAAAAATCTCACAACTAACTTCACAGATCATAGTTGTAAGAGACTACAAATCACCAGCCAGTCCAATCCCCCTTGCATTCAGGAATGCCCAGTAATACTACTATGTTTAAAATGTGATACATAATGTTTCTCAATTTCACCAAATTGTGGGCAAAAAAAAGTTATGTCTCTTTTTGTTTCCAATGCAAGTCAACAAAAAGGATTGAAATTCTTATTTCTGATTCTGGGTTCAGACATGGGCCTGAATTAGATTGGTTCAGGTATGACTTAGCTCAACCTGAATCCCTAGAACAGGCTTAAACTGGGCTGCTGTTGTACAGCTCTAGGAATTATTACAGTAAATTTTATACATCAATCACCTTCATATGGAGGTGAAAAGTGTTCTTTCAGTAATGCCAATCCTTCACAACAATTTCAGATTATTTTTGAATCTTTCTCACCAGTTGATACAGATTTTCCCAGTAGTCCTGAGTCATCAGTCGAAAGAGTGTCAAAAAAGCCCAACTGAAGGTATCAAAACTTGTATAGCCATAGTTGGGATTTCTTCCAGCTTTCACACATGTATACCCTTCTGGGCATTGGCTAAAAAAAAAAAAGAGGAAATTATGAACTGATGCTATGCCTGCTCAACTAAAGGTAAGCTTATGGAACAGATCACATGTTAGGTGTCCAGAAATAATATTAACAATAACAACAATAACAATATTAACTGCACTAACTCTACAGTGTTTGTAAATCTGCACCTTCCCTGCACCTTCCCTGCAAACTCTCTATGTGTATACTTTGCTATTTCAGAGTATTCACTCAAACCCTCAGGAGCAGATTTTTGGATATACAGGAAAAGAAGACAGTCCCATTTTCCAAAGTGAATTCAGTTTGCCATTCGAAGACTGGGATTATTAATTAAATTGCATTATCAATGGTGGCATCCCTTTGGGCTTAATATTCTGAAAGCTGCTTACCCAGCATCGGAGCTGTTGCCACAAAGCAAAGGGTCCTTTGAAGACTCCAAAGTATAAAAATGGTCTATTAAGACAAGAGAGAAGAAGACAGAGGAGTAGTTACATTCTCAAAGTTTATTTTTTAATTAACATCTCCCCATACCAGTCTCCCAAGCCACTAAGACCTCTCCCAGAAGTACAGTTATGTTTCTAAGTAATGTGTCACTTATATTATAACAATATTAAAATCACATATAACTTGAGACCAGGTTACATCCAGGACTGCCTCCTCCCATATAATCCATTTAAGCCACTTGATACAGTCCTTTGTGGAACATGTACTCCAGCTAGACAGGACCAGGATGGGATGGCAACTGTCACCCAGAGGACGTTTTCTTCAGTCTCCTTGAAGCTATGGAACAACTTGCAATAAGAGATTCAAAAACTGCTTCCGAGTCATAAGGCACAGGGTGAGGAGATAAAAGGAAGCAAGAGGCTGGGAAAAGTGGTGGCAGACGATACGTTTTGCATGCTACCTGGACAAGGAGTTAACATACTGGAATCTGCATTTTTGATTGATGCCATTACAATAAAAGCATTTCAGAAAGGCATCCTATAAACATGTGTGCAACATATTCCTTCCTATTAAGTCTCATTTGCATTTCACTCATATGATGAGAATCCATGCACTGAAAAGGGAGTGGGGTGACACTCCTGGTGCTGTATAGGTCCATTCAACTCCAACGCAGCAATTTTTTTTCTACTACTGTAGTTTTCCAAAAGAAAGTTAATTATGTTGAACTGACTATGTGTTCCCAACGGAAATGGCTTTGCCAAAACATGCAGATATGAAGGAAATGGTACAATGTTGGGTCTCCAGTGACAAAGCGGGAGTCCTCCTCTTTCAACATATGCAGGAGATTTTATATGTTACTCAGTCCTGAGATACCAATTCCAAGAGTTCCATTCAATTTCCATCAATTAATCAAGTAATACCAAATCTAATAAAATATGTTAATCAACTAAAGCAACATAATGAAACAAAGCCCAATACATCTTGTTTAAGATTAAGATCTTCTGGGGAGGCCCTGACTCGACTCCACCTTCTCGAAACTGTGACAGGTGGGGACAAGAGACAGGACCTTCTCCGTAGTGGCCCCTCAGCTATGGAATTCCCTCAATGAAATTAGAGCAGCCCCCTCCCTCCTGACATTAAGGAAGAAAGTAGAAACGTGGTTATGTGACCAAGCTTTTGGATAACAAAGCTCATAGTGCAATAAGACAATAAGGAATAGTGAACAGACTAATGGAAGGTCTACAGACTTGATTTTGGATGGTGAGATTTTAATAACTGTTGTTTATCGGTGGGTTTTAATATAAATGTTATTACATTATTAATGTTTAATTTTTTATGTTTTATGTCTAAATGTTATTTTATGTTTATGTTTTAATTTGGTTAGGTTAATTTATAGTTGTGTGTTGTTGTCCAGCTGTTATCTTTTGGTTTTCACATGTATGTACAGCATTGAATTTTGCCTTTATAATGTTGGAAATTGCTTTGAGATCCCTTAGAGGGAGAAAAGTTGTATATAAATGTAGTAAATAAATAAATAAATCAGGCCCCATCAACAAGTAAAAAAATGAACTCTAGGGCCAGGTTTGGAGAAGCTCTTGAGAAAAATGCTTGAAATGGTGTCCTCTGGGATAATCCTATCTTCCTTCTTACCACCAATGCCAATTACACTTGCTACATCGACTTCTGCCACCCTGAAGGAAAGTACAAGGCAAGGGGACATTCCTAAGCGTTCCTCTCAATGCTTGTCATTACTTTTTTATGCCAAAAGAAGACAGGGAGATTTGCATCAGTAGTAAGAAAGCCTTGTTACATGCTAAAGATCTGAGGGATAAATAATGGGAGTCCTAAAGGGCTATGGGTTATAGTAGGTGCCTACACTGCCCTCAGCTGAGGGTGGGTTGAGAGAAAAGAATTCAGGCTATGCTGAAAGTGAGGTTGATTCTTTGAAATTACAACAATAGTTTTTGCTGTGTTTTCATTTTCTGATGTTTATCACAACTTCCTCCAGACTACTAACCTAGAGTTGTATTCAAGTTTGACTTTGGTAGGTAACAGCTTCTCTCTTGATTAAAGCTTACCTTGGTTTTCAATGTATTTAGACCAAATTATTTCTGTTTCATTATAGTACTCTCTAAAGCGTGGGTCTAGGTAAGAAGAATTACTAAGGGGCCACAGCAAGCATTTGTGTCTTAAGTTGCCCATGAATAGCTGCAGCCCTATTAGTGCAAAGACGCTCAGGCAGAAGACTGTCAGGATCATGACATCCGAGAGCTTCTTCACGGACTGAATGAGGGCTCCCACTATGGTCTTCAACCCTAAAAGGAGAGGAAGAGACCCAATCATAAGGCATCAAGTAAGTTAATATGAGAATCATGGTGGTTATCTCAATGTTAGCTAGCCACATGTCCCCAGTATTCCTTCCCATTAACCATGCTAGCCAGAGTTGCTGATAATTACAAATCAAAAACCTCTGAAGTGCTGCACAATTCTCACACAGAAAAGGGTCAACTGAATTGGAAAAATGAATGTGGCATTCAGCTATTGTGTTAAAATAGTATTGCATATGCTCTGATATAAAAGACAACTTTTGATTCTAGGCTGAAAAGAATATTTGAAGAATGTTTAAAAATGCAAAAAGTGAATAATGTCAAAGATCTGGTCTCAACCCCAGCCAGAAGCTGCTACTAGTTTCTTATACTGCTCTGCTGAAGACTAGTGGCATATATATATATATATATATATAGAGAGAGAGAGAGAGAGAGAGAGAGAGAGGGAAACAGACAGACTGACTGATATTGTTTGCACTGCCCACAGAACTCTGAATGTTCTCAACACAGAGATGCAATCCAAATCCACGAGCTAAGGCCCCATCTACACTGACCATTTAATGCTGTTTCAAATAAGTATTGAAGAATTATTTATTTACGTTATTTTTATCCCGCCCATATCATCCGAAGGTGACTCAGGGTGGCAGACAAGTTGGCAACAATTAGATGACATATATAAAAATACATACATGGATAAAAAGCAAAAATATCACAATATATTTAAAAACCATAAAAGCAATAAATAATAATTATAAAAACTATGTCTTCTTGTTCAAATCCTCAACCATTTCATCGTCTTAGCTGTTCCTAGTTCATTTTCCGATGTGAGTTTTTTTGGTCATGCTGTTGTTCCAAACGCTTGCTCAAAGAGCCAAGTTTTCACTCTTTTTCAAAAGGTCAGGAGGGAGGGGGGCTAATCTAGTATCCCTAGGCAGGGAGTTCCACAGCCGAGGGGCTACCACAGAGAAGGCCCTGTCTCTCGTCCCTGCCAAATATGCTTGTGAAGCAGGTGGGATCAAGAGCAGGGCCTCCTCAGATGATCTCAAGTTCCTGGAAGGTTCATAGAGAGAGATGCGTTTGGATAGGTAAAATGGGCCGGAACCATTTAGGGCTTTATAGGCTAAAGCCAGTACTTTGAATTGTGCCTGGTAGCAAATTGGCAGCCAGTGGAGCTGACGCAACAGCAGAGTTGTATGCTCCCTGAGCATCATTAGTAACCTGGCTGCCGCATGCTGGACCATTTGAAGCTTCCGAGCAGTTTTCAAAGGCAACCCCACATAGAGCGCATTGCAGAAGTCTATACGGGATGTAACCAGAGCATGGACCACCGTGGCTAAGTCAGCCTTCCCAAGGTACGGGCGCAGCTGGTGCACAAGTTTTAATTGTGCAAATGCTCTCCTGGTCCCCGCCGAAACCTGGGGTTCCAGGCTCAGCAATGAGTCCAAGATCACACCCAAGGCCGATAGTTGACGAATTGAGTGGGGTCCAGTGATGGCTTTTTCAGGAGCCGTTTTATTACAGCTTGTTTTAAGCTGGCTGGAATGTTGCCTTCCCGAAGGGAGGCATTAACCACCACCTTCATCCACTCGGCCAATCCCCCTCTGGCTTCCTTTAGAAGCCAGAATGGGCAGAGGTCTAGGATGCATGTGGTCGCCCTCATTCCTCCAAGTATCTTGTCCACATCCTTGGGTTTCACCAATTGAAATGAATACATCAAAATCGGACATGCAGATGCTCGTGTTACATCCTCAGAGACTGCCGTTAACATGGTGTCCAGATCAGAATGGATCAAAGCGACTTTGTCTGCAAAGAAAGGAGCAAATGCTTCACAGCGTGCCACCAAGTTGTCAGGGTTCCCATCCGGAATGGTGGGATTTAACAGACCTCTGACAACTGGAAACAGCTCAGCCGGACGGTTCTTTGCGGACACAATATTGGCCGCAAAGAAAGATTTCATATGCCCTTAGAAGGGCATCAAGCCGTGTTCAATTTGGCCCACTTGGGACTGAACACCACACGCCGTCTTCTCTCCTCTTCCTTCGCTTCATTGCTGCCAACTCCTCATTGAACCAAGGAGCTGGTTTAGCTCGGCTACTTGAGAGGGGACGTCCCGGAGCAATCTTGTCTTTTGCCCTAGTCATCTCCCCATTCCAAAGACTGACCAGGGCATCAACAGGATCACCAACTGAGGTGGCAGGAAATTCCCCAAGATCCATCAGGAATCCATCCGGATCCATAAGCCTCCTAGGGCGGACTATCTTAATGAGTCCTCCACACCTGCAGAGGTTGGAGGTAAGTGAGCCTAAACCTGATCAGGTGAAAGTGGTTTCACTGTGCAAATGACTTCATAGGAAATCCTGGAATCAATTTGAGGCCTGAATGGTGATGACACAAACGACAGAGCACTGATGTGCATTAAGGGCTTTCATTCGGGCACTTCTATGGGTCATCGCAGTTTGAAGATTGCTTCAAACTGCATTCAATGGTTAGTGTAGATGAGGCCTCTGCCACATTATACACAGTAGTTTATCTCTCTCTCTCTTACACACACAGACAGAGCAAAAGACAGTGATTCAAGGGAACTAACAATTTATACAATTCCAATTCTTACCTGGGATTACGGAAATAGTTTTCAAAGCTCTCAATACTCGGAAAGTTCGAAGAGCTGAAACATTGCCCAGATTTACAAATTCTGTTATATACCTGTAGAATTAAACCACAGTTATTCAAAAGTGAGGAAGATGTCATTCTCCTTAATAAATATATTCTGATTTAAATTTGAGGGGGTAATTAATTATACATGTTATTTGTGATTGCATTTGGTGTCACTCTTTGAGCATTTACCTGGAAGTAATGCTTATAGTAGAGCTAACACCAATAGTAAGGCTGGAAGAAATTGCCTTCTTCCTCTACATATTTTCTGACCCCATTTGCCTTAGAGCAGACAATTTAATGTCAAATATTCCATGGGAAACACACCACGAACATCAGAGTGCAACTGATACTTGCAACAATGAATGTATTCCATTTGTTTCTATGGCCTGAAACATACTTTTTAAAGGAAACATTTCTAGACTAAGAGCTTCCCTGTCTTTGAATTAAGAAGCATCAATTGTATGGCCACTTCAGCACTACCATAATGCAGGAAAGGATTCTAGCCAAAATGGGATGCTTTTTTTTACTTTTCAGTACAAGCTGAGCATCCTTTATCCAAACCCTAAATTCATTTATATTTTATATACACATCTTATGCACACAGCATGAGGATAATTTATACACAATATTTTTAATCATTTTGTGCATGAAATAAAGTTTGTGTACAGTCAAGTATCTCAACCATCCACGTAGACAATTTCAAATTATTGAGTATTTCAAATTTTGGATTTCTAGATAAGGGATACTCATCCTGTAATAGTAGACAAATATTTTTTGAATTATTTGATAACAATTAAATCCTAACATTCACTAACGATAGCAACCAACCAGATGGAAATCAAACATCCTTTTAAAATTCTTTTAAAATCCACAAAAATCACTTCTTCAAAAAAATGCTGAATACTTACGCAAATGAAATTACAAGGAAATCAAGCCAATTCCAGGGGTCTCGAAGGAAAGTAAATTTATCTATACAGAAACCTCTTGCAATTATCTTTACAAGGGACTCAAATGTATAAATTGCTGTGAATGTGTATCTGAAGGAGAAAACAAAGAAATATTTCACCCCAAAAGGATTTGGTTTTAATTACATCTTATTTTAAAATAAAATATCATTTTTGCATGTTTTATAACAATCTGATGCTATGTCGTTTCCACACCATTCCACCCTTCTTCTTAATATTAACAGTATGGTGATTGAAATGATTACAGTTTGCCTTCTATTTCTGGACAGAAGATGGCTTTTCATTTTATTGTGTAAACTTCCACCCAATGAAAACAAAGGGAGGAAACTAATTCCACAGTTGGTTTATTATTTGTAAATAGGTTGGGTGTGTCCCTAGAGGCCTCTCCCAAAAGCTCACTGCTCTCCCTCCCTTGACCCTATTCCAGCAGTTCTCAAAGTGTGCTCTATGGAGCCCTTGGGGCTCTGCAAAGTATACTGAAAGGTTCAGAGGTTCTCTCTTCCTCCTCCCTCTCTAAGCCTTTCCCCTCTTTCCTTGTTTCTGTCCCTCCTCACACCACCCTTGCTGCCAAAAGCCTTTCCCCCTCACCTTCCTTCCATCTAAAACCCTATTTGCCCCTCACCGCTCAGGTAGTGCTTTGATTGTGCTTTTCCTGAATGGCAGGGGGGAAATCACCCATGTGATGTAGGACTGAGCATGGCCCAGCAGCATCAGGAGGAGCAGCAGCAGCAGGAGAAGCAGCTTAAGCAATTTGTAATGCTATTTATTAGAAAAAAGTAAGTCTTTACTTTTGTTTTTTATTAATGCTGCCATTAGAAAATGCATAAGAATTTGGGTGAACTACAACTCCCAAAATTGTGGGCAGTCCCCCCCCCCCAAACCCCATTAGTATTCAAAGTTAGTCATATTGGGTATTTGTGCCAAGTTTGGTCCAGATCCATCAGTTGGGTACACGTTGCCCTGTTGCTGTGGGTATATAACTCCCTATCACTCAGGTCAGTCCCTTGGAAACCCTACCAGTATTCAAAGTTTGGCATGTTGGAGATGTGTGGCAAATTTACTAGTCACATCACCAGTCTGGTATAGAGTGCTCTGAACGTTGGTGAAGTACAACTCCCAAAATTCAAAAACTGACCCTCCCGCCCTCAACCCCACCAGTTTTCAAATTTTGGCATATAAGGTATTTGTGCCAAATTTGGTCCAGATCCATAGCTGTTTGAGCTCACAGTGCTCTCCGTAGGTAGGTGAACTACATCTCTCCAAAATCACTGTCAATTCCTCCCAAATCCCTCCAGTATTTTCTGTTCAGGTTGGGAGTTCTGTGTGGGAAGTTTGTCCCAATTTTATCATGCCGCTGCTTGGGTCCCACGACACCTCCACCGCCTCCTCAATCACAGGGTCCAAGCGGCAGCAAGACTTCCAGGCGGCGACGGGGAGGAGGAAGAGGAAGGTAAAGAGGGTGAAGCGGGAAGGGGAGGGGGCGTCCCTACTTTGCGGTTTTTCACTTATCGCAGGTGGTCCTGGAACGTAACCCCCACGATAAATGAGGGAACACTGTTTTGGGTATTTGTGCTAAATTTGCTCCAGTGAATGAAAATACTTCCTGCATATCAGATATTTATATTACAATTCATAACAGTAGCAAAATTATAATTATGAAGTAGCCACAAAACTATTTTTATGGTTGGGGATCACCACAAAATGAGGAACTGTATTAAGGGGTTGAGGAAATAAGAAGATTGAGAATCACTGATGTATGTGTTTGTATCTTTTAAAAGGCATTGATTTAACTTCTTGTTTGCTAGTAAAACTGCATTACTGTGTCACAAAATGATGCATGTCCAAAATGTGTGCCACCAGCATGAAATGTTTGTAAAGCTCAGTTTTAATAAAATGCCATGAGAGAGTTTTAGCTCCATGCAGAATCTAGCATATTTAACTCATTTGACTTCTGCATATTAAGGAAAAGAAAGAAGAACAGTGTACTTACTCTACAGGCTTTGCCCATTCAGTGTCTGTCCGAGTCATGACTACACAGTTTGCTAGAATAGTTAACATAATAAACATGCTGAATAATGTTGGATTAAGTCAAGGAACACATCACACAAACTCTTCACAAGTAACCCCAGAGAGCCTATTTAAGAGCATCTCATTATACAAAATGGAAATAGGCACAGAACTTCAACCTGAGGTGATACAAGATCTTTAATAAAATCTTAAAATCTTATCATAATAAAATCTTAATTGAGTATTGTTAACTTTATACGATTATATTCAGAGCTTTATTTCAATCTTAAGAGAATCCCTGAGCGGAGTTACTTGCAGAACATTCCTGCTATTTGGCATGAGAAGCTTCATCATTTTCCCCTTGTGGCTAACCCAACACTACCTTCCTTTACTGTTTCATAGACATCCCCAACCATACAAGGTAGATTTTTCATGGTCATCGGTTATTTCAGGAGTATAGAATACTATAGTCCTCCTCCATTTAACCAGTTTGGGTCAAAAATATATTCTACCAACAATATGTGGGTGGATTATGTTGGAACTTCTACTGAAAACAAGATAGTTTCTCCATTCAAATGCACATCTTGACATCTCTTTGTAGATTCTTAAAGGCATATTTAACTAGTTGAAAAAAGGATATGAATGAACCAAAATCTTTATCGAAATTCTTCTGAGTATACTGAAAGGACTTAACAGGTACAAGGAAGGCGTGGCACTGAATCTGAAGATGCTCTTCCCTTTGTTCAATACTATAAATGTCTAAAATAGAGAAGAAAACATGTAAAATGAGCTATATTAATGTTCAAAGACATACAAAGATTAAGAAAACACATTTTATTACTGGATTACTGTGAGCTTTCCGGGCTGGATGGCCATGTTCCAGAAGCATTCCCTCATGACGTTTCGCCCACATCTGTGGCTGTTGGAAAGTAGGCAAGTGAGGTTTATATATCTTTGGAATGTCCAGGATGGGAGAAAGAACTCTTAATCTTAATGAATACTTTATTTCATATATTTCTACCCCGCCCTTTGAGGCTAACTCCATGTAGCACTTCAGATATGTTTTGGAATAAAGTTATGAAATCACAATTTGATCTGGGTTAACTTCAATGAATTGCATTTGTGGAAAACCAAATGTCTGGACATAATGAGGAACTCCAGTAAGTTCAAAAAAGTTTAAAAGCCAGATGTTTCCATCATTTTGTCTTTTGTGAGTAAACTGGGAAGCGGATGGTGTGAGCCCCAAATTAATATAATGAGAAACCACATTTATTTACCTGACATAGTATGAAATTTTTAAGTATGAGAATTGCAATTTTTGGCTTCTAGAATGTTGTATACTGCTCATCACAATAAATGCCAGAAACAAGCCATTATTTAACAAGCCCTTGTAATGACTGCAACAGGTTTGCCAGGTTGACTGCATCACTGAAGTATTTCATGTAGTCAGCTATGCATGAATACTCTGTTCTAGAGAGAATGCAAATGTGCTGTAGCAAGAACAGCGGGGTTCAGTTGTTGACAAGTTGTCCAACTACTGACAAACTGACCAACAAGAATCATTTAACAAACAATATAAGATGACCAGAGATACAAACAGACTTGTCCCATCAAATGGGTGTTATGCTACTGGGGCTTAACTGGCTGAAGCTTCATTCTTCATGAATGCTTACTTTTTTATTTGCATAATAAGGATCCAGGTCCTCCAAGGGCTCAGATACCATCCCTCGTGGGATGTCTCCATAAATAAAGGGCAGAGGCTTCCCTGCCTCCAAGTCACGATTTGGCTGTGGCTTGGTGTCATCACTGCCCTCCTCGCATTGCTCTTTCTCCGTTCTTGTTTTCTTCCTCTCATCAGCAATCCTCTTCTCAATCGCTGCAAGGGACTCAGGAGTGAACCGGAAGAAGCAGTTGGGTCCTGGTGGTGACAGCAGGGCCTGTGCCATTTTTACATTCTGCAGATTTCAATTACTTTTTAATTCTGATTACAAAATGGCCTACATGTAAAAAAGAACAACAACAAAATTATTTTAAGAAAGAAAGCAACAGCAATAAGGAAAAGGAGACAACAACACATCAGAAAACGTAAGTCAACAAATTAAAATGTTTACAGGAAAACAAATGAAATTTTTCAGATGAGATTAAAACTTCCAGGACTAAACATTAAGCAAGGACTCAAAATCTGAGATCTGTGAAATGTTTGGGTGGATGCCACTCCTATGTATTACTAGGAACCAGCACAATGTTCCTGCTTAATATTTACAGTCACATGCAAAATTGGTAAATGTATCTGCTTTCCCTTCCCACCCAGATCTGCAGCCAAGACCTTTCCAGATTCTTCCAACAAGACTCCGCAGTAGAGGAGGCAAATGTCAAATGCCACCCTTACTACATATCAGTTAGTACACAATGAAGATCAAGCCGTATATCTATTTACTTTTAAAAAGCTATTTACACAGTTAATATTTGTGTGCTTGGTTTCTCCTCTAGTTTTGTTTTAGATTCAAATGTTAATTATAGTTTTATCAGCAGAATACAGTGGAATCATATTCCATTGATATTGCTATCATATGTACATTCACTCCAGAACAATTTCAATGGAACATAAAGCATTTACTCCTGAGTAAATGCGTACAAGATCAGGCTTTCATAAATATCTGCATATACACATATAATGACTTCAAATGAAAGAACCATTATATTATCATCAAGAGCATGAACTAAAAAAAAAACCCTTTTCCTCCCTACATTATTTATTTACTTCATTTATATACTGCTTTTCTCAGCCCTTGGGCGACTCAAAGAGGTTACATTAGCCAACTCGCAGCCTGTTCTGCCTATACAGTCGACACTATTATTTTCTAGCTGTCAAGTTCAAGCAATTGCTAAAAAAATGCTAATTTTTTTCCATCCTAATTTTGAATATTTCTGAAGCCGGGCTTAAGCACACCAGGTTAATTACGAGCTGCAATAAATCTTACCAATTGAAAGGTTGGTAGTTCAAAGCCCAGGTCGGAGGTGAGTGCCCAATCTTCAGCCCAGCTCACTGACCACCTAGCACATTGAAAACAGCTGTGAGTAGATAAATAGGTACCGCTTAAGCAGGGATGTATTCTAATGGCACACAAGGAAATAGCAGAAAATGCCAGTGATTCGGTTAAAAAAAGGAGGAAGTCTGTGAGCAGACTTGGAGGATAGAGTGGAGGATAGAGTGACATCACCCCCATGTGGCTGGAATTGAACCTCTAAGATGCTGAAGATGGGAAAAACCTAGAAACCTCTATCTGTCCTGTCGTCTGTCCTGTCTGTGTATAATGGCATTGAATGTTTGCCATATATGTGTTCTGTGATCTGCCCTGAGTCCCCTTCAGGATGAAAAGGGCGGAATATAAATACTGCAAATAAAAAAAATAAATAAACCTCTAATCTTCCAAAGAGCTGTCCACGATACCTAATTCAATATATTACAAAAATAGAACACTACTTAGCAGTACTTCTGGAAAGGGAAAGAAATAAAAAAGGAGACACATGATTAAGATTTAAAATATGCTAGAAATGTATTGAAACCATTGGAAACATCAAAAAATAAATTAAACTGTGGCTCCTATGGAAAGGAGAGGGTTAAAGTGCTGCATTATGATTATTTATGCACTTTCACTCAGCATTCTCATTTCAGACCACTCCAGAAGCCACCCATCCTTATAAGTGAGCAAACATGCATATAAGTACATTTTATTTATTAGCCCTTTGGCCGTATCAAAAACACATACACATATACATGCATGGCTGTTGAAAGGACTGAGGAGTAATTTCACATCCCCCCCCCCCCGCCCCAATATAGACACCTACTTCACACCCAAAGTAGTCTATGTGTTCCAGCAATCAATAACCAATTTGTTGAAAGTCAAACAGCACATGTTTTCCTATGAAAGAAAGAGCACTCTGAATGAAAAAACAAAACCTCTTCAATAACTAGTCAAGGGAGACATTATAAAAACATTAGTTTGTAAGTTCCATCGATGTGATGGGCAATAGCCAGGGGTACTCGGAGTACTGGCGAATCCTGCTTGGCTGAGCAGGACAGTATTAGAGCTTATTTGGCTCCTTTTCCTGGCCTCTTGCCAAGGTCGTGTAGCCCAATGTTGTTGTTGTTGTTAATTTGTTTCTGACTTTTCGTGACCTCATGGACCAGCCTACGCCAGAGCTCCCTGTCAGCTATCACCTCCCCCAGCTCCTTCAGCGTCAAGCCAGTCACTTCAAGGATGCCATCCATCCATCTTGCCCTTGGTCGGCCCCCTCTTCCTTTTCTTTCCATTTTCTTTCCAATACTTCACAGAATTCTAGATCTACCTATGCTTCAAGACCAATTTACAAGAGATAAAAGGAAATTCCTTCTTGTTCCATCCTACTGCCACATGCTACCTCCAAAGGGGAAGATGCATTTAGCATTACCTCTCACTATCTGGCTGAACAGTATCCTTCACATTCTATTCCAAAAAAAAAAAAATCTAGCATAGTAAGAAGTACAAAACCCCTGAGCTGTTCATTATATGCAAGTATTACTTTCTGTCACAATCACATGCATTCATTATTCATTTTTATTTTTGCAAGGAGCTGCAGTATACTTGTGCCAGGAAACTAAAGTCAATTCAGAGCATGTACATGCAATAAAAAATAATGCATTTGCGGCATGTGACAATACACATTAGAGGCAATGCTTTTTCTATTTGCCTAGGCAGAATCCCTTTCTGCATAGGGAATACCATATCAAATTTCTTCCATTTGCTGTTCCCTGCTAGAAATGTGAAACCACAGCAAACACATATGCTAGAATGTGCAACCCTGCATTGTGATCTGCACTTTGCTGTTTCTAAATGATCCAATCTTATTTTGCTTTTTGTGAAACATGATTCTCTCCTGAAGTCTTGCTCTCTTCTGTCCTCCCAAGAACACTGCTTCAAATCATTCATTGCTATTTAATGTGATCATAGAAGCCAAAGACAGCACGAAGGCCTATGAGTAATGCCTTTATCCTGTTTTTCAGCAAGATATCAAAGGGCTGGCTGGCTACCTCATGTTTTTAACCTTGTAGCAGCTGTTTCTGGTTAATCCTTCCACCTTCAATAAACACAATCCCATTCACATCATCTAGAGGACCTCTGCCTTATTATTTTACAGTGTGTCTCCAAAGAAAAGTTCTTAATAAATAACACTTAAAAGTATGAAAAGGGAGTGAGGATTGCCCTTTTTTGTTTGCCAACTAAATTACTTTCCTTCCTCACCATACATTGTTTACACTTGCCAATTGTGTGTGTATTCTGAAACTGTCCAATTCTAAGTACTGGTATTAGTAACTTAAAAAGTAAAGTTGAGGATAGTTCTTGAAGAAACGAACCGCAAGTCTAATCACAGGATCAAATTCCTGGAATGTTTGTAAAAGAACAAAGAGAGGTTAGTTAACAGTATGGAAATACCTACTCAAGGAGAGAAATCCCTCAGTGTCTGGAATTAGCCATTAAACTGCACAATTCCATACATTTCTTCTTTCTTTAAAGGAAACAAATGAGATAAATGAGGAAAGTTATGGCTTAGAATCAGAGGTCTGCTTGCTACAAGTAAAATGACTACCACTTATGACTATGGAGAAGAGAAGCAGTTCAAAGCAACACCCTTATCATAGCCAAACCCATTGCAAAACTGCTTTTGGATTACTACATCACCTGAAAACAGTGTGAACACAGCTTCAAAGTTTTTTTAGCTTCCTAAAAATGGGAATTCCATGCTTTTGAAAAGCACTCTTTCAACAAGAGTTGGAGACTGCTTTGGAGTAACTCCATAACGATGTTGTGCAATGGTAAGACCTTCTGTTCATCACTGAGGAACTTAATAACCATGCTAACAGCCAGTATTAAAAGAAAGCAATAACAAATTTCACCTTAATCAACATTATAAATAAACCCAAGAAATTAATTAATTTATTATTTACCATATTTGTACCCCACCCTTCTCACCCCAAAGGGGATGCAAGGCGGCTTTACACATAGGCAACAATTCAATGCCATAAAAAACAACATACAATTAAAATAGACATTTAAATTAAAAACCGTAAATTAAAACATTTAAACATATCAACTGTTAAAACCACACCATCCATAATCCCTATGATCAGTCACTATAAACCCACATTGTCATAAAGTATACAACACTTTTGAGAACGTATTTTCTTATACCATTTCTCACATGCAAAGGTTTTGAACAGCTAGGCAAGATTATGAAATGTTTTCCACACTTTTGGTAATCTCCCAACATTTCAAGACTTGGATGCAAAAAAAAAATCATTTGCACAAACATTGCTTTCTTAAATGCAAGTCTCAAAGTTTTCATTCAGAAAGAGTGATTGTCTATGCAACAGACTTTGTCTTCTGTGCAAAATGAAAGGTGCAATTCAAAAGACAACCATTTCTTGCATAAAAATGCACATTTTTGATGAAGTGGTGGTGGTGGGGGGATCTCATGCCAGGTTTCTGAAGTGGATTTCTTAATAGGTTGAGACACCATGATGATTTTTTTTTACAAGTATCCTTTATATCCTTAGACAGAACTCAGCTGGAGAAAGATTTTGTATGGTTCAAAGGGTCAAACTACAAGTAACAGAAAGGGATGGAAATTGTGCTTCTTGTGCCCAAAGTACAAAGATAAAAATTAAAGCAAACACTGGCATTGGTGAAATTTGCTGTGGGTGTTGCCTCCTTGTAACCACAGCAGAGGACTTTCCTTGCCCCAAAGAAGCAATTAAACTAAGTGATGCCAAAAGGATTTGTTTCCCAGCTGATCTGACACAAGCTGTACATGATTTGTTTCAACAAGCAATGCAGCTTTTCATATCTCACAGGGCATCAGTGTAAATCTACTTTGCATTAAAGGGACATGATAAGACTCTCAGCAACCAGGGAGTAATGTTGACATATTAATCCTAGTGTTTACCTTGCACCAGGTGCATCAATATGGTTCTCTGGGTACACATTATCAAGGGGAGATGCAAATATAAAATGGTAAACCTGGGAAAACTGTGGTCCAGAGTCTTCATAATGATTTTCATAAGCTTTGCCACACCCATTCTTACTGTTTGGTGGCCAAATCAGGCAAAAACACTTAAATTCTTAGTAAGATTCATGGTATAGCTGAAATCATAAGCTGAATAGGAATTCAATCCCATTGAACTTTTTAGTGAGATGTAATTCCCAATTAGAAAGCTTGGACTGGGTTACAAATAAAATATACCAACTTTACGCTTAACATGATGGCTTCTTTGAATAAATTATACATATATATACAGTACATATGCGCACACACATTCATACATACTGTAGAATCCTGTATGATCATTATCTACTATGTAATACTGTAATTACAGTGCTACATGGTGGATTCTGGCAAGAACCCCACAAATCTCACTTATTGGTAAGCATTCACTATGTTTCATTAGGGTCTGTATCCCTCTCTACTGAGAAGTCCCCACCCCCATAAATAAGCTCTCATGTAGCACGAAGAAAAAGGACGTGACATAATTTGCCCTCATGCTGATGATTTTGGTGGCGAAGAGGTGAGGAGGAGGTGGAGGAGAATGTCAGGTCATTACGTATCTGTTACTCAAACAACAGGGGAATGAACCCTTATTGGTCCCAGCAACCAGTTATGGTAAGTCAGATTTGGTAGTGTTACATAGGGTTCATAAATACAGCTATGCCTCTACTTTTACTGGGGTTAGGGTTGCAGTGCTGCTCCATCCCTGGTTTGTTGTTGTGGGATTTGCAAGAGAACCTCTTTGGCCACATTGGAGCTGCAGTTAAGGAGTTGTGGTAGTGCTCTTTCCAACGTAGTACAATTGATTTTTTTATATCCTTCAGAAGTTTGGTTCCATCTGATGAGCGTAGAGGCTGTATGCCATGATTTCTTGCTCCATAGATGACCTTTGTGGTGTGAAAGAATCCCTGTGCATCATGGACATCTGCAGGGTGTTGAGATTTCTTGTGCCTTTTTTGTCCACCAGATGT